AACTTTTTTTTTTTTTTTTTTTTTTTGGTCAAAAACAAACAAAAGTGCAGATCCCTCCGCAGTCTGGAAACCAGTTCCTTCTGCAGTGCCTTCCTCTGGAAGCGTCAGGCTCAGCCAGTCTGGCGCCACCACGTGAAGCACCCCAGAAAAGGACTGACAACCCACCCCCAGTGCATTCCCCACCCTCACACATAAATAAACACTTGCTGTGACCCGGAATCACACCCAGAGGGGAAGTTTCACATGGCTCGGAATCCTTTAAAACAGGAGAGCAAATCACGCACGCACGCACACACACACACACCTGCACTCACCCCACCTCCCTACCCACGAACTCAGGCCCAGGAAAGAAGGGGCTACATGAGAGAGGCCACATGTGCCAATGGCTGGGTCTCCAGGGCCTCGGTGATGGTCTGGGCCAGGTGGGAATGGTGGCATGGGGCCACAGGACAGAGATGAAAGGGACACCAGACAGAGTGCTAACCTCCCTGGAGTCACAGACTTCAGCTCTAGGGGGAGGGTGGCAAGTGTCCAGCTGGCAGCTCCCTAGGGCCCAGGCCTGAGAGGAAGCGGGGGCTGGAGTCAGACCTATCTGGGTGGCAGGGCCCGAGCAGGCCTGCTGAGGTTGGATGGCTCTGAGTGAGACGACAGCTGGGTGATGAAGACAGTGACACGGGGCAGTCTCTCCCTGTTCTGAGGAGGGCCAGTCCCCAGCCATGGTCTTCCTTCCCTGTGAGCTGGGCCAGGCCCCAGCTGCGGTTCTTCCTTCCCTGTGAGCTGGGACACACCAACTCTAAACCAGGCATGTGAAGGAGGGAGGGAGGGAGGGAGGGAGGGAGGGAGCAGGGAGCAGCAATTCACATCTGGACCATTCTTAGCACAGGAAGCCACTAATTAAAGATGTTATATAGAAAACTACATGTAAAAAAGAAAAGAAGAAAAAGAAATATAAAACCCAAACCAACCGAATAAATCAGAGGCAGGCAGAACAGCAGGGGGCTGAGCTAAACACCATTCAGTGCTTCAGGAGCCCCCTCCCACTCCATGCCTGGGCTGGGTCATGTTTCTAGAAGTTAGAGTGAGAAGATTGGAAATCTTTTTGTGTATTTTTCTTTTCCTCTTTTTTTTGGCCTTTCCTTTCCTTTCTCTCTTCTGTGGTCTTGGGTGCTCCTGGCCCCATGGGCAGGTGGGCAGTCAGTTGGCCAGCACAACGGGCTGAAACGGCTGGCTGGGATACTGCATGGTGTTCAGGTTGTAGCTGAGGCCTTCCACGAAGGGCGCCTTCTCCAAGAAGAGGCTGTTGGCGCCACCTCCAAATACCTGGGCCATGTCGAAGCTGCTGCTGTTGCAGGTGCCAGCCCCACTGCCCCCGAAGGGGGCCGGGGTGCCACTGCCCTGGCCGTCGGCCCCATCACAGAAGAGGCTGGGAGAGCCACCGCCGTTGTACACGAATTCCTTGGCATTGGGTGAGAGCTGGGACTGAGGGGCTGGGTTGGTGGCGATGAAGTTCAGTGAATGCAGAGACAGAGAGAGGCTCTTCTGCTTCAGCAGGCTGTTGGTGGGAGAGCGGGCCATGCGGGGCTGCTGCTGGGGGATCTGCTGGCCACTTGCCCCGGCCCCTGCCCCCCCACCCCCACCCGCTGCCCCGCCCCCCTTCTTCATCTTGGTGGAGCCAAACTTGGTGGCTGCGAAGGAGGCGGTGGTAAAAGTGATAGGCTGAGCGGAGCGGGGCATGAAGGTGGGGCTGGGCGACTGGCCAAAAGACGGTGACGGGGAGTTGGACAGGGAGCTGTCCTGGCTGCCAATGGGCACAAACACCTGGGCATCGGGATTGAAGCTGCTCTTGATCTCCTTGTCCAGCTCTGGGGCAACACAGCCCTCGCTGTCATCCAGGTAGAGCACTTTCACAGCCCCCTTCTCACCAATCTGGTAGGACACCTCGAAAGGGTCGATCCAGACGCTCAGCTCCTCGGGCACGTTGGCCCGCACATCCTCCACCGCCAGCCCACTCCGCTTGGCGGCCAGCTCCACCACGGGGTCCACTATCTCCCCGATGTGGACACAGCGGAAGCCAGAGCCCTTCAGTGGCTTGTCAGGGTACCAGTGGCCTTCATATTTCTTTTTCAAGAGTCGCTCTAGCTCCTCACCGAACAGGTCTGCCCGGCGCCGGGGCAGCTTGTTGTACAGGTAGGAGATGATGAAGTTCAGGGCCACTTTGATCTCCAGCTGCATCGTCCTTTCCTAGGCAGAGAATCAGCACAGGCACGTGCACAAGCCAAGGACAGTGGTAGGAAATGTAAGGTGGGCAGCCTTGGGCTCCAGACAACGCTGAAAAATGAGAAAGGCTTCATGAGTAGATATGCAGAAAGCCAGTGGGCATCAGACAGAAAAGCACCAACTTTGGATCACATAGCCTCAGGGTCCACTAGCCTCTGCTCCACTAGTGACAGGTTTATATGTGTGACTGTGGGCAAGTCACTTTTTTCTGAGCCTTAGTTTCATCAGTAACATGATATTTTAGTCGGCACCTGATAAATATTTTTAAGTACTTCTAAAGAAATAGGGGTACTGTGGTTTCCACTCTTTTGAGAATTCAGGTCACTTTATGAGTGACACCAAAAAAATCGAGCTCCTAAATCAGATGGAGAAGGGAAGGCTCTTGCTAACTTGTCTCTGCAATATCTCGGTGAAGTCCCACTCCCAAACTGTCACAGGCCAAGACAGGAGTTTAAAATCTTTAGTTTCAACCCCTTAAATGGAAAGGGATACAGGTCACTGAACAGGAAGCAGCACTGCCAACTTTTCACGGGAGGCCAGGACTCCAATCGCATCCAATTTGTTATCCTGAGTTCCCTGGGTGTGCGTGTGCTCTGGCTCACTCTGGGTTTGCAGAGCTGATTCTTTTGCAGAACAGTGTAACCAAGGCGAGCATTTCCATCCAGACAGCCTCCAAGAATGGGGACTGGGGCATGATCCCCAGGAAAAAGTCAAGACCTATCACAATCAGAGGCATGGACCAACAAGGAAACTACTGACTAGGGGCTGCCCTAGGGAAGCAGAGGAAAGGAGAGGGAAGTGGGCCCTGTAGGCCAACAAAGCCTTAAGAGCAGTACTGGTGTGGCCTGAGGGAAATCTCTATAGATACTGGCTAGAGTGTAGGGGATGAGGTGGGCAGAGAGAAGAAATTTTCCATCACCCTACAGCCTCCAGCTGGGGACCCATCATCACTCAGTCTCCCAGGGACTGTCTGACCACCTGTCCTTGGCACCAGACCAGATTTATCACGTGTTTGGAGATCCCTGGAGAGGAGGCAGCCCAACATAAACACTCAGCTTGTTATTTTGGGATTCTCTCACAGCCAGATCCACAGAGGTCAAAAAGGTTTATTCCTGAGGTCTGGGCCAGCCTCATTTCTCAGGAAGATGATCTGTGAGGTCCTGAGAGCCAGTGATCCTAATTGCCTCACTTTCTCCAAAAGGGCAGATCCAGGCTCATGCCATGGGAGAACTGAACTGAAAAGGGCCATCTTTGAGGGCCGACAGAGCCAGAAAATGTTCCTAACCAGACCTCTGGGTGAGAATGTGCTGCTGAGCTCAGCACAGAGACAAGACTGATCCACTATCCGTCAAGGGCACCTTTTGTCCCTGGAGCTGGATTTTGATTAAAATCCCTTCTGGGTCCAGCACACAGTACCCAGGTGCTAATTCTAGGCTTGAGGACCTTGAGCTTTCTGAACACCTGACCCAACTGGCTACGGCCTGGGACCATGGCTCCCCAGGGCGTTTTAAGGACGGAACCCTCAGGCAAAGCTCTCCGTGGTGAGTATCAGAGAAAACGCACTGGGTTAATGTGGAGTATCTGATGACACTGGCCATGTCTAGCCCCTCCCTCACTTCAGGTCTGAGTAGACAAAGGGTCACGTGGGGCATCAAAAGAAGTGCCACGAGCATGGCCTTTCCTGAGCCCTCCACAGGGAGGCTCAGGATTCAGGTGACTCTTTTCTCCCCATCTATCCCAGCCTCCTATTCCTGGTCGCCAAAGATCAATTCCAGGGTCCTTCTAGGTTTAAAGAGAAGAAGAAAGATAAAGATAAGGAGCTTTCTGTTTATGAGGATTGGATTCATCACCAGACGCAAAGATAGCTACCAGGACCATGGACCTCCCCTCAAGAACAAAGGCCTGTAAGGGCCACAGTGGCCCACTAGAAGTGTGCAACACACAGGAGACTAAAAAGTTGTAAAGAAAGTTGGCACTGGTTCCCAAGAATGGGCCTGGAGTTAAAGACACTGTCTTCAAAATATATATACATATTTTTTTGGCAGTACGCGGGCCTCTCACTGTTGTGGCCTCTCCCGTTGCGGAGCACAGGCTCCGGACGTGCAGGCTCAGCGGCCATGGCTCGCAGGCCCAGCCGCTCCGCGGCATGTGGGATCTTCCCGGACCGGGGCACGAACCCGTGTCCCCTGCATCGGCAGGCGGACTCTCAACCACTGCGCCACCAGGGAAGCCCTCAAAGTATTTTTGAAAAGTAAAACTTGAACATGACATATGACCCTTCTCCCAAGGCACCACATGGCCTCTTGGCATGCCACACAGTCCAAAGGGCTCCTGCACCCTGCTATGCCTTCTCAAACTCTGCTGCGTAACTGCCTTCTAAATCACCTCCCCTGAACAGTTCAGCCTCAAAATGGGAGCATTTTAAATGCGGGCCAAAGTCATTGGGAAATAAGCCTCCTACCCCAAAATACAATAGAATCACTGTCATCAGCCCTGCCCAGCTAACCATTTTCTGCATTAGCAACTAAAGCTGCACGCCAGGGGCTTCCCTGGTGGCGCAGTGGTTGAGAATCCGCCTGCCAATGCACGGGATACGGGTTCGAGTCCTAGTCTGGGAAGATCCCACATGCTGCAGAGCAACTAAGCCCGTGCGCCACAACTATCGAGCCTGCGGCTCTAGAGCCCACGAGCCTCAAATACTGAGCCCGCGTGCCACAACTACTGAAGCCCGTGAGCCTAGAGCCCGTGCTCCACAAGGAGAGAAGCCACCGCAATGAGAAGCCCGGGCACTGCAACGAAGAGTAGCCCCCGCTCGCCACAACTAGAGAAAGCCTGTGCACAGCAACGAAGACCCAACGCAGCCAAAATTAAATAAATAATAAATAAATAAATTTATTAAAAAAAAAAGCGGCACACCAATTTATACCTCAGTGATGCTGCCGCACAAATGAGAAGAGTAGATAATGCCACCTTCGCTTCTTCAACTCGAGAACAGGCCAGGCCAGGTGGCTGTGGGGTGGAACCTTACAAAAACGACGGACAACCAGAATGAGATTTTCTGCTCTAGCAGCTCAAGCTCTAATTTTGACTTCAGGAAGCTTACGGAACAGAGGATTAAAGCACTGGTGCTGTCTTTAACTAAAGATAGGAGTGACCACTCACATCAGTTTGTTCATTTTTTTAAGGCTATTGGACAAATTCTAGAGCTTATATATTAAATATTCATACAATGTGGTAAAATTAGCTTAAAAATAACCACCCTTCAATAAAAGGAACAAGTAGATTCAAGTTAAGCTGCAGGAGAGGACTCAAAGACTTTCTCCAACCCTGACTCAGGCACAAAAGGCCAGAAATGTGGCAAAAAGAAAAAAAAAGACTAAGTGCTTAACAACAGCAAAATCTACCTTTCGTCAACATATTAAAAAGTTGCAAATATAGGAGTAAAATTCTGTCCCCTTTTATTTAGAATCTTATCCTCCTTCATTTGCTTTAATTCCAGCAACAAAGTTCATCCTGGATTCAGATCCCTGTGTTGAGTTTTTTTTTTTTTTGCAGTACGCGGGCTTCTCACTGTTGTGGCCTCTCCCGTTGCGGAGCACAGGCTCCGGACGCGCAGGCTCAGAGGCTATGGCTCACGGGCCCAGCCGCTCCGCGGCATGTGGGATCTTCCCGGACCGGGGCACGAACCCGTGTCCCCTGCGTCGGCAGGCGGACTCTCAACCACTGCGCCACCAGGGAAGCCCCTGTGTTGAGTTTTAAAGGAGTAAGTGCTCAAGAGAATGTCAAAAAAGGGGGAAGAGGGCTTCCGTGGTGGCGCAGTGGTTGAGAGTCCGCCTGCCGATGCAGGGGACGCGGGTTAGTGCCCCGGGCCGGATAGATCCCACATACTGCGGAGCGGCTGGGCCCGTGAGCCATGGCCGCTGAGCCTGCGCTCCGCAACGGGAGAGGCCACCAACAGTGAGAGGCCCGCGTACCGTGGGGCGGGGGGCGGGCGGAAGAAAGAAGCTGAAAGGAGGCTGCAAGTCAACGATATGGTAAATGGAGACGCCAGAGAACTTCTGATAAAAACTCGAAGGACAGTTTTTAGGAAGAAAAAGTTGTTTTAAAGGGGAAAAGGAGGGATAGTGAGCGAACCCACTGGGCCCCCAAATCCTGAGCACCTGTAAAATATTCAGGCACCTCAAGCCTTAACATCCAAATCACAGGACAATCAAGCACTACCAGATTCAAATGAGTGTGGAAAGAGGACTCAGGGTCCTCAATTTTGACGAGGCCAGTAGGTGTCACAGACCAGGTGCTGGGCAGTGGGAGCCCGGCTCTGGCGGGACAGGGGGTGGCCCCACCGCACTGGTCCCGGAGGCAGACCGGGTGGGTGTGGTTGAAAGGCTACCAGGACTTGTGCCAACTGACTGCACCACCCCGCCCAGTGTCCCACACCATCTCCCCGAAACATGGACTGTGCAAGCCCAAGTCTGACTACAAGACTCCTTCCGACTAAGAGGGCCCTTTTGGGAATTCCCTGGCAGTCCAGTGGTTAGGACTCCATGCTCTGACTGCCGATGTCCTGGGTTCCATCCCCAGTCGGGAACTAAGATCCCACAAAACCCCGCTGGGCGGCCAAAAAAAAAAAGGGCCCTTTCTAGGCCTCTCCAGGTTCCTCTGAAGCCAGGAAGACTTGACTGAACCCCAACATACACGGGGAGGCCCGGGGCAAAGGTGCGCTCTGCGCTCTGGGAATTGTAGTCTTCAGAAACCTCACGCTCAGGTTGGAGCAAACGACCTACTTTCTCTGCACACTACACTTCCCTGCGTACTTTGCGAAGACTCAGCCGGGGAACTACGCATGCCCAGTAAGGGGAGCTGGCGGAGGGTGGGAGAACCGAGGAAAAGTTTCCGTTGCACATGCGCGCTGTGGCAGACTGGCGCCCCCCCCACCGCCCACCGCCTAATACATTTTATATAAATTCTACCCATAAGGCCTACTCCCCGT